TAGACATACTGGGAAAATTTCCTTGCTCTGTTAAACATCATTTGAGAAATATTAAAAAAAGAAAAAAAATCAAAGGGGGGTTATAATTCTGACTTTAACTGTATATTGAATTATCCACAAAGGCAAATTTGCTATTAATTTAGATTGATTGGGTTCATGTTGTAAGGGAAAAATAATACAATAGAGCAAAGAAAGGGAGTCAAAGAAGCAGTACTTTATGGAGTCAAACAGTATTCTGGTACAGAAATAGAATAATGAAATCTTAAATAATGTTATTTAATATTCATTGTATTAAAAATTTAGTAAAAATCATTACTCTTTAAAGTTACAAATTTACTTTTTTGTGCATAAATGCCTTTAAAACATAATTTTTCAGTCTGTTATGGTTATATTCTGTAAGGACTGCACAAATCTCATGTATTCTCAGCTTTGGTGCTAATCAAATACAGTGCCCACTCAACATTGCAGATCCTGCGATGTGACTATCGCAGACACACACACACACACACACATTATGCTATCAATGCTGAATTGATATACTGTATTGTGCAGTCCTATACATGTTAATTTCATGAATACTTCTAGATAACATCACATGGTTATAAACTTTTATTGTGTTTAATTGAATAAATGATATATATTTCTTTTTTGTAGTATTTTATTGTTTTAACTTTTAATTTTTAATTCTAATTAATTTTTGATAGTTTGGTTAAAATGTTGGGGGCTCATCAAATTATATCTTTAAGTGCTTTCAGAGCAAACAAATATTTTATGTTAACTATAATCGAAATGCTGGAAAATATTCAAAAAACGTAAGTGTATTCAATTTTAGCTGCGTGTTTTTAAGATATCGACCAATCAGATTAAAAGAAATAATCATTACCTCTTATCTGATCAACAATAAATCACCCAGCCATACTCCAGAACCATTATTCAACCCAACACGCCCTGTAGTTCATATGCTCAGCTGGATGCATCTCTATATAAATATCTCATCTGACAGGTACATGTGTGTCACCTCCTCTCTGCTTGACCTCTGCGCTCTCTTCTTCTTTCCTGTCCTCATATCCCATGCTAAAAAATTGGCGCTAGCTTCATTTTAAAACAGCAACACACGCTCAGGTCTTTTCGTTTGTCCTGGACTTATGTGGAGTGCTCTTCTCATTTTCTCTCTAGGTTTGCCCAAGAGAATGCTTCTGTTGCCCGTCATGAAAGTGCCCGCCTACCCCGTTCCCCACTACTCTTTCTTTTAGCTCAGGAGCCGAACACACACACACACACACACACATACACACAAATATAAGGGAAGGTCAGATAGTACAGCACTATCACATGCAGGGACAGCTATTAAAGGGACAGTTTAACCCAAAATGGAAATTGACTTGCCCTGAGGTGGTTCCTAACCTAAATGAGTTTCTTTTTTCTGTTGAACACAAAAGAAGATATTTTGAAGAATGTTGGTACCTATTGATTTCTATAGTAAAAGGAAATACTATGGAAGTCAATGATTATCGCTTAAACAAAAAACTCCAAACAGGTTTTAAAAAATGTGGGCGAGTAAGTGATGCTGGAGTTTTCATTTTTGAGTGAACTGTCCCTTTAATAAGGGTATTTGTAAAGTAAGTTTTATTTGATTATCACCACGTTTAGTTTTTGTTTTCATATCGTTTTCTGGTTTTAAGCAAATACAGCTTTTATGTTCTTCATAGAGAAAAACTTGAAGGATTTGTACTGTGAATTGTTACCTCATTTAAATTATATCGGCCTCTTTTTTGTTATCATCATGGTTGTGTTTTTTTTCTTGTAGTTTTTGGGAATAGGCTTTTATGACAGTGTATGGATATCAGGAGCTGTGTTGAAGATGTATAGATCTAATACGAACTACTGCTAACAAATAAAACCTTTATCTTCATGAAATGTCAAGCACTGACTGGTGTATGTTTCAAACTATTTTAGGTAGAATTCAGATAATATAGATTTAACCGTTAAGCAGCTCGAAATGTACAGAGGTTTTAAGGCATGTTTCAGATTCAATACAACTTTATGCTGTATGGGCAGGATTTTGATATTATTGACAGAAATAATGAAAATAAGTTTCTTTTGTTTCATTGTTTGTTTATGTAATATTAAGCAAATGCACTTTATGTGGAAGTCTGGGGTTCTTCTGAAACCATTTAGTGTTTTTGGTATAGTTTGTTTTTTGTTTATTTTAAGATTTTTTTAAAGATTTGTTCAGGGTCCTTTTGATTATTTATAGTTGTTTTGTCTGTTTTCTTTCTTTTTTTCTGGTGTAGTTCTTTAAAAGTTATTTTGTTTTGTTGTTTATGTTGTTTCTGTTTAGTCTAAGGTTTTTGTTGTTGTTTTTCATTGTTTTAGTATTTTTGTTTGGTTTGTTTTAAAATTTTAGTAGAGTTTAACTTTAAGTCGATATTTGCAGGGTCATTTTGACTAATTATTCAGTTGTTATGTCTGTTTTCTGTACTTTTTTCCTGCTGAAGTCCTTTTAAAATTAAAGTCCTTTTGAAGTTATTTTGTTTCTGTTTAGTCTGAGGTATTTTCATTATTTAAGTGTTTTTGTTTGGTTTGGTTTTAGCTTTTATTAGAAAGTAGTTTAACTTTAAGTTGATATTTGCAGGGTCCTCTTGACTAATGATTTAGTTGTTTGGTCTGTTTTTCTTTATTTACTTTTTTTTCTGTTTTTTGGTTGTTGTTGTTTTTCATTATTTGTGTTATTTTGTTTGGCTTGTTTTTATCTTTTAGTAGAGTTTAACTTTAAGTCGATATTTGCAGTGTCCTTTTGACTAATTGTTTAGTTATTTTGTCTTTTAGTAAAATAAAAATTATATATATATATATATATATATATATATATATATATATATATATATATATATATATATATATATATATATATATATATATATAATTTTTTTGTAGAATTCTATGGGGTCCTTTTAACTCGGAAGTAGTTTTTTAATGTCTGTGTTATTTTTTTGTGCAAGTCAATTACTTTCATTTCATGTTGTCTTCCTTTGGGAGCATTTTGTTTTGTTATAGTTTTATTACTTTTTTATTTATTTTATTTTATTTAATTTTTGTTTAGTTTTTGGAATTCTGAGGTGTAAAAAATACCAGTGCAATAAGCTTCCACTATAAGTGCATTGCTGTTCACAGTTTTTTCAAATTATATATTTTTTAAATCAACAGCATTTACTGTATTGAATCAGGAACTGTCCTTTTATCAAATACAATTTTTTTGTCTCCAAATTTTGTACATTTTAGAAATTTAAAAAATCAGCCTAAGGTTTAGTAATATTTCCATAACACAAATCATGTTGAGATGCCTTTCAAACCTTTTCCAAGCCCTCTGACCCCTTTGGCTGTCCCAGTGAATGAATGCTGACCCCGTGTTGAGCTTGATGTCAGAGTTGTCCTGATGATTACTGTCCGGTTCTCCTCACAGAAGACTAGTTAGTAAGGCTCTAGACGTCTGTCATGAACTCATCTGTTAGCAGAAGTGGAGTTAAACACAAACAGACACACATAACACAGACAGGTCAAACACGGTCCCTAACATGGACACACAGCGGAGCCTCCAGTCACAGCCTTACAGCGGAGAATCGAAAGCAGCAACAAGGGATCCATGGAGACATGCTACTGAAATGTCTTTTTGTCCTTTTTTGTTTTAACTTATTGGTGAGTGTCTTATTGTGTGTGAGATGTGATTTCATACTCCTCCAAAAGCCAGCACAAGACCATTCCCAATATTCCGGTCCATGGCACTGTGCTCAGGGTTTATCAGGGTTGTTTTAGTGTTGTTGAGGATATTATGTTTTTTTTAATTAATATTATTAATTAAATTTGAGTTTTGGTGATTTTGTTTTGTTTTGTTTTAGCTGCAATAAAAAGTTTTTTATATTTTATTTTAAGTTGGCACTTAAATTTAAAATTACAAAAATGTTTGTTAGTTTTTAGAACTTTTAGTAAATGCAATAAAATAAGTTTGCATTAGTATATAAATGTAGGTAATTATGTACTTTTTTAAATTATTCATTTTAGATTTAGTTATTAAGATTTTTTCAATTAAATCTTGACAACTGTGAGACTTTTTTTAAAAAATATTTCCTTTTATTTTAGTTAGCTTTATTTAAGAAACAGCTTTTTTTATAATTGTTTTAGTACATCAGGCAACAAGTAAAATACATTGTTTTGTTATTTTTATTTTATTTGCTAAAATAGCCCTGTTCTTGACCCTTTGAGTTACAGACCTGCAAAACATGCCTCACCTGTTTCTTTGAGTCAAACATAGCATTACCTTCTTTACATTGAAGGTTTTCCAGTTCCTCATTTTACAAATGCTCTTGAAACATTGATTGCATTGCTTCCTGTTGGGTGATTTAGACAGTGCTTGTGCTGGCTTCTGGCTGGGTCATGATCGTCACTTACCGAAGAGGAACTCCATCTCCATGGTTCTACGAGTGGTCACGCTATTCCCATCCATCATTAATGGATCCCTCACATCTGTCATGGTCATTATCAAAGTGTCCACTCCAAACCAATGGCATGTCCTCTTTGGTAGTGATAGCTGTCATTGTACTATACTCTCTCCAAAATCACAACGGGTCTGATTTGTCAGAGTTATGTACTAACTACATCTGTATGGAAACCTCAGAGTTGCCACATACGTTTCACATTTCCTCTGCCTTTTCTCAAAGGAATGAGCTCCAAGTTTGTTTGTTTGTTTTTGTTTTGTTTTTACGTTTTGTCGAAAAGTTAACCGTGCAGCTTAAGTTGTTGATGTCTTTTTTATTATTAACCTGAAACGCTCCCGGTGCAATGAAAACCCCACGTACAGCCCGAAAGAGCAGAGACCCTAGTATACACCCCTGTGGCACACACCCTAACCCCACTTTCTTTCTGCCGTCACAATGTATTTACCGCTGCCTCCTGCCGGGCCACAACATTAATCGCAGCTCTCTCTGCTCTTGTCCTCACTGTAGGTGGTCTTTTCATTGACAATCCCTTTTACCAGCCGCGGACCATCGCTCCTTTTTTTATTCACTTGGGTCCTCAAGATCTCTTCTCTGACTTCTAGAACCATCAGGTTGTGTGGCTCTAAACTGTCGTACCACTCCAGGCTTGACCAGGCTGTCTCCACCTCACAGAAACGGCCCAAACTTCATAAACAAACCCGATTTAAGGATCCAAAAATGCACCAATCTTACAAAAGCAATACTCTCTATTTGACTTGCTCGTCCCGATAAAGTGGCCCGAGGACCTCGGGTTCCTCCTTATATAGCAATACACTTGAACTCTTTTGGGCTTTAAGCTTACTTGAGATGTGAATGTTCGGTTGAGTCTTACTCAAACTTGGCATTGCAATATAGTCATTGTCACTGTATATTCACCACATGTGTATATGTGGCTATATTATAAATACATGCATATATATGTATGGTCTATGGCACTATAAATATATATGTGTAGATATACCAATGTACTTATGTATATTTATATACAGTATATATACATATACATATTCTTGGTATTCATTATTTTAGAGTTGGAAAGTGTAACCGTTATACTAGGATATATACACCTTTCTTCCAGTTTTATATATACAGTATACAATATATATATATATGCTAAGCAATTTAATCTCGTAAATTATTCTTGTGAACATGCAATATAAAAGCCCTTTTCTTAATCTACCTGTAGTAGATTAGTAATGCTTCCTTCTCTCGGACTCGAGCAGCTTCGCCGTGTCATTTCTGCGTCTGTTTTTTTTTTGTTTTGTTTTGTTTTTTGCTCAGTTGACCAAAGTCTGGTGTTCTGGTTGGGTTAAGAGCTCGTCCTTCAAACATCTGGCCAACTGTGCCACCTACATTCACTGCTCACAGGCGAACACGCAGGTCTTTCTAAAGCACACCCGACGGCAGATTTCTTTTTCTTTCTAGCCGTCGACTTAGGTGCATACTTGTACACGTAACCACGGTATGAGGGCAGCTAATGTGACCTAGTCACTCCTCACTTTTACTTGTAAAAAGCACAGGTTAAGGTTACTGTAATGTGGCATAGGTGGCCCTTCATTTCATTCATATCATTATCCCTTCTTCTCAGGCCTGTTTCATAGCGCACATAAAAGGGGCACATATTTGGACATGTATGGGTGTTGTTCACACTTGGTAGGTTTGGGTTTGATGAATGCTGACTGGTGGAGTTGCTCTTTTAATGTAGTTTGCGAATGCTACCATTTGAAAAAAGTAGAGCGCTGGAAAATGGGTCTCAGTCCACTTTCAAAAAATCTCTGATGCAAGATGCCTGATATATGAATGTAGCATGGACCAAAGACAGCTAAAGAAATGAAGCATGCACTAAAAAATACATGAACTATTATTTGTTTAGTATAGGGTTGTATACTTAGTCTTAGTTTTTCTGTATAAAACATTACGGAGTGCAGAAATGGTGAGTAATTTTACCTAAAACTGATATTATTGCAAATGGTTTACACAATTTGGCTCTTGATTTAATTAGAATTTGTTCTCTGTAGGAGGTAGGGCTGTGTGATTAATCGAAATCGATTGAAACATTGTGATTAGCTAAATGCACGAGGCTGTGATATGAAATATAAATGTATTATTACATTTGCCCCGCCCAGAGCAAATGAGTGACTGCCATCTGTGTGTGACAGTCTTACTAGCTAATTGAGTGAGCACACTTTTATTCTGCTCAATCAGAATTGCTCAACCGAACTATGCAGAAGGCCCACAATAAAAAAACTGGAAAGAGCGGACGAGTGGGATGATGGCATTTCACGCTTCAGAACCATTAATCGATTAATTAATATCAAAGAAAAACAGGACATCAGTAAAATGGGAATATTTTGGTTTCAAAGTCACAGACACCAAACAAAACAGATAATTTGTAATAATTGTTGCCACAGCCCGAGGAAATATAACAACCAGCCCCTAAAAAAGCACCACAGGCATGAGGAGCGTCTTTCTAAAAAGTCAACTGAAAGAATCTAGTAGCAAGCATAATATAAGTATAATTTTAGAGTTGTTTAAGCCATGTTCGTTTACTGAGTGTTCTGTATTATATAATTATAATTTTTTGTATTTATAATAATTTATAATAATATATTATATTAAAATGATCTCCTTAATTTAAGTTTAACTTGTTTACAGAAAGGTAGAGTCATTTTATTTGTGTTTACTGTTTGCTTTAGAGAAAAAAAGAGTGTTTCATTTCTAAATATTTAAAAATAAATTTGAATAAATGTGAAGTAAGTTCATAGCTTTTCAGTTCGTTTTTTAACTAACACTCACTGCATTTTAGCAGTAGGAAGCTACTATACAGTTTATTGAGCTAAAGCTTGACTACAAAATTAAGTCTCAAATTAAATCGAAATGGCAATATGTGTCAAAAAAAACAACAACAACAATTAGATATTTCCCCAAATCGCACAGCCCTAGTAGGAGGCAAACAGATTGCAAGCCATAACGAATATTGTATAAAGAAAAGTTAAAATGTCAAATATTGTTGAAATAACAGCTTGTATTTGAAAGAGACTTGCCAAATTTGACAGAAGAATTGTAGATAAATTGTCTCAGAATTTCTAGAGGCTGTGTAAGAAAAAAAAAATCTCACGAGGAAACATAACTATTTTACATTTTGTCATTTTAGTGGTTAATTCGTACAAGTTCTGAAATGTACAATTATTGTATCAATTTTTAAAACGAGGCTTGGCCCCCAACTCCACCCCTAAACTTAACCATCATTGGGAGATAATGCAAACCGTACAATATTGTCCGAATGAGATAGTACGATTTCATACAAAAAAGCCACTAAATCAAAAAGTTACGAATTGACGTGAGATATCGTTGAATAAAAAACACACCTGGTAGATTCAGACGAGATCAAACTTATTTCAATACATCTGTGAAGCACAAACTTCTCTAATGATCCCTTGTATAACTAGTTGAAATGATGCCCATTACAGTTCAATAAAGACAGCAACACTACATCTTCTTGTAATGCATTTTCAGCTGTGTGGGACAGGAATTTCTGGTGCAGTTTTGACTACTTTACAGCATTTATAAGCCTTTTTTGAGTGCATAACTGAACTAATATTATCATGTACACATACTGTACAGAATTGTCTTTACAAAATGACTGTAAACTGAGATTAAATGTATTGTTTTTCGTTTTTGTGCTGGAGACCAAACCAGCCAAAAGAACCAAACTACAAGTGTGAACACCATACGCCAGTGCCCGTATTACAGCATTCACATTGCTTGCACAATCAGCATGACCTTGTGTGTAAAAAGTGTACTATAAACCTATTTAGCAAGGCTTTTTTACAGTAAGACACCCACAAAAAAGTTTCCTTTCAATAAATCTGCCTGAATCCAGTTCATTCATAGCTACATTCTGAGTTTGGCTTCAATTCTGTGTAGATTGAATTGCATTAAGATCTAAATCTGATGTGATTGATGTAAAAAACTTGCTTTTCATAATGATGGTTGTAATTTCAGTAGCGAACTCCCCAAACATATTTAATAATTGATGCTTGTTATTAAAAGAGATGCTCACCCTAGTAACCCAGATATCAGTGTTTTCCTCATTAGATTCAGCAGAAATGCACGTTTTGCTGGCATGTGTGTTGTGAAACAGGCCTCAGTTGATGCAGCAGCAGGCGGTCGCTTTTTAATTTTGCGTTTGTCTTCAGCAGGTCTGTCGTAGCGCAATTTTAGGCAAACTAATTAAAAACCGCTCTCAAAAGACTCCCAGATATCAAGCACAGAGCACAGCAATGGGAATATTCTTGATTGCAAATGATTGTAGCTGTACTTTATTCAGATTTAAAGAACTTTACTTCCGCCAGGATTGTTTTACTGTAGTTTGAATGCTTATCATTAAGTCATTTACATATATAAATGTCCTCCACTTGATAGCCTCACATGTATAGGAGTAGATGACTCAATCAATATCACTAATAATGTATTGATGTTTGTATGTCAAAATAGTTTTGATATTTTGCTGTGCGTTCAGTAATAAACAGAATGTTGCAGTTTCTCACCAAAACCCAAACGTGTTGGGCAAAAAAAAAAAGTAGGATTTCTCTAAAACAGGATATGACCGAATCACTTGTATACTGAATGTGTCCACTTATACTGTATATGAATTCCCCCACGTATTTAGTCATATTTTAACTGTTGTGTTTGAATGTGAAATATTGTAGCTTTAAAATAGGAAAATATGGGATGTAATCACAAAAATACTACAGAATAGTACTAGTTTAATTGTAATAGTACGGTGTAGTTTAATAAAAGCAATAGTACAACAGGCATCACATGATAGTGATAGTTTAAATATACTTGTTTTTCATTAATGTCATTTTTTTAACAAACGTTTTTGAAAGCAAATCCATTTTTTCTGTTCCCCAACCAGACGAGACTTCGGTCAGTTTTGAATTAGAGCTGGTAAGTCTTTGTATGGGTAAGTTTTATGTGGAAATGCAATATATAGAGAAAAGCGACACGATATTAAATGGGCTTTATTCTTTTCTTTGAGCTTTATGAATGATCGTCAAGCACACAAGCCTCTTTCCATGATCTGACGCCACACCAGCATTGCACAGTTCAGACGACTGATAACTGGGTGTTGACGTTTCTTGACGTTATATTAAGCTAGTAAAAGCAGAGGGCTAACGATGTGTAGTGGAGAATGTTTTTATTTTTGCACCACTTCGATTCCATGCCTTCCGTTTTATTTAAAGCGAATCATTTATCAGAATGTAGAACTCACAGACTGTGATTAAAGTTAACATGAAATTAAAAATACATTTTTATGCATTTTTTTCCTTTTTCAAAACAGTTTAGAACAAAATGAACAAAACAGCAATAAAAAAAACAAACTGACATTTTTAAAGAAACATGGAAAAATGAATGAATACAATCTTATTTACATTCAAATTTATTGTTGATAAAATGTTGCTTTATGATTTTTTTAAGAGTTACGTGCCAAAGATCAACAGGCTCCAAACATATATAAAGTAAAAGCACCACAATGACATTAAAACAATACAGTTCTCAACCATTTGCCCCAGCATGCAGAAGTTTTATAGGATTGTTGTCTCAAGGAAAATGTCAGTACTTCCATGTCATAAACGTCTTTAACAATATCATACCCTTCGCCTAGAGATGGAGGATCTTCTTTGAGCCATTTTTTTTTTGTAATTGCCTTTTTGCTATTGTTAGTAGTGTGTTAAAAAGAAATACATACTTTTTTGGTATTTCGCAGGTAGATAGTTAAAAAAATTACATTCTAGATTCAATCCCATTATTGCATTTGTCTCTTTATTTAAATCTTGCCAATAGGTGTGTATAATATTACTATCCCAAAATATGTGGAAAGAATCTCCAATACATTTGCACATTTTCTCCAGCATTCACCATTTTTGATCTCTAGTTTGAAAGCATTTGATTTTAGGTGTTATAAAGAACATTTTTGGGCAAGATTTACCCAAATAAATTCCCTCCATAAATCTGAATTAATTAAAAATACTATTTTTTACATTTACAACACCTTTGTATTTTCAAAGTCATTTAATGCATACATCGGGCAAAATAAGTATTGAACACGTCACCATTATTCTTAGAAAACATATTTCTAAAGGTGCCGTTGACTTGCAATTTTCCCTGGATATTGGTAACAGGGAAAACCATGTATGCAAAGAAAAGAAATCTATTTAGTTTAGAAATTAAGTGATGTGTAATAAAATGACGCAGGGATAAGTATTGAACACATGAAGAAAGGGAGGTGTAAAAATGCAGTAAAAGCCAAGACAGTTGCTGAAATCTCTCAGTAGTTTTTGAGCAACCCTCTGCCCTTCATCATTGTAAATTAATATTTTCTGCTTCAGTTTTACATCTACATTACTATAATGATTAAGATGAATCGAAGGTGGACGTTTTAGCAAGACAATGATCCAAAACACAGTCAAGGAAACTCTCAAATGCATTCAGAGAAATTAAATCAAGCTGCAGAATGGCCCAGCCAATCCCCTGACTTGAATCTAATAGAAAATGCAAAGTAAAAATCAGATTTGATAGACAAGACCCACAGAACCATCAAGATTTCTACACTCTCTTGAAATTTTGTGAAAAATCACACCTGGGCAATTCTTCATATGAGAGGCGTCTTTAAGCTGCCATCATTAAAAAAGCCCTTACAATAAAGTTTTGATTATGTTTCTGTAGTTCAGTACTTAAAACTTTTTTTTATTTTGTTTTATTTTTATGTTTGTATTGTTTGGGTTTTTACCAAAGTCTTGTTCAATTCCATGTCACCGGCTCCTTTAGAAATATTATTCCCAGAAAAAAGGACTTATTTTGTTCAATACTTATTTTCCCTGCTGTATTCCCTAATTTAGCTTGCTGATATGTAACTATTTTACAATCCAATTCTGTGATAAGTTGCAGTCTTAAATTCTAAATCCATGGGGTCACCATTTTCGTCTTCATACAAAGCTTTAGATAGGAATCAAATCCCATCGGAATCATTGGATTTAAAAACCGTGCCTACACTTTTATTGTCGATTTTCTGCATATTTCCTGTTATGATACTGCTATTCCTGCTGTTATGTTTACAGACATGACTGGCAAGTGTTATTTCATGTTGACTTTAATCAAAAAGTCCTTCAGATACACTCACACCCACACTCACAAATGCGGTGTAAATCATAGCGTATTTCAAAGCAATGTCAAAATCCAGCATAAAAAAGCCATATAGTCCGTCTTTAAATATCAGACTTAGCTAGTAGTATTGCTGCAGTGCTTAAAAAGCATCGAAAAATCTTCTTGTGAGGTGCAAATATATCTTCATGCCACCCTGCTTCCCCAGGTGGCATCGGCAGCCAGATGGTCCTCATAAATGAGTTGTGAGGACTAATATTTTAGTTCAGTTTAGGTTTAAATTCTGCTCATCAAAGTCGAGCGGAGCTCATCAGCCGTGTTTGAATCTCAGCGGTCTATCATAGGGGAGGGATGAGAGAACATTTGCACAGCTGCATCTCCCGTCAAATGACGTTTGAAATCAAATTCCAATATAGCGCTTTAAATCTGCAGAA